AAACTCCATTCTGTTCTGGAGTATATACATCTGTAAATTCGTGCTTTACACCATTTTTACTACAATATGACCTGAATTGATCATTATCATATTCTCGCCCATTGTCAGTCCTAAAGTATTTCAACCTAAGGTTCAAAGATCTTTCCGCACGTGCTATATGCCTTTCAAATACTTCAAACAACTGACTTTTCTACACAATGGGGTACACTACCACATAACGAGAATATTCGTCAATAAAGGAAACGAAATAACGTTCACCATTCCTACCTGGAATGTTAATAGATCCCCATACATCAGAAAAAAAACCTTTCAAGCGGCCTCTTTACTTGAATACCTTCTAAGGGTCTATAGGAGATTCGTCTTAGTTTATTGATTTGGCAATGTTCAAAAAAGAAATTAGGTGAGTGCTTTAACACAAGAAGACCTCGAACTGAATGTCTCTTACTAGTCCTGACAATAGCAACATAATTTATATGACCACCAAACCGACCATGCCATAATTTCACTATTGTTATGCTGAACTGTGGATGCCTCAAATTTTACAGATTTGCCCCCCTTTTTGACTATATTTTCGGGAATACATGATAGTTACTTCCTATCAACTTAGCTTTGTACATAGTTTCATTTCATCATCTCAGTAACTTTAATTTGCCCATTTTACCATAAAAATCTTGCTCCATTGATATTCACCCTAGGTCCAGATATTAAATTTCGTCTCAGTTCAGGTGAGTATAACACATCTTTAAGCAAAATAACCGTATCCCCAAATTTCATTTTAACAGTACCCTTCCCATGAATTGGAAAAGTTACCCCATCAATAGCTACTAGCATATTCTCATTTTTCACAGGAGAAAAAGTATCGAACAATTCCCGATTTTTACAAAAATGATGAGATCCAGCAGTATCAAATATCCAACTATCATCATTTTCCTCCAAATTGTTAACATTAGCTTGAGCTATAAAATGGGACTGAGCATGGGAATTATTTTTACCTTTACTGAACTTGGGTTTATTCTTACACTTAGGAGATGCTTTATTACTACTAGATACAGCTGAGGAAACAGAAGAAGCAGGCGAGGGTGATCTGGAAAAATTACCTTTCATTCTACAGTATTTTTGAATATGACCTGGACGACCAGATTTATAACACTTGAGCACTTTAATCTGCTTAAATTTGTGTTCACAGTTAGTACTTTGAACTTCTATAGTCTTATTGGAGTTTTCCCTATCTACCTCTCTTAAGTTAAGACGCATTTCCTCTGCTAGTATTTCAAGTTCAATTTTAAAAATGAACTTCTCATCTGGCTACCTCAAAACATTCTGAACTACTTGATCAAATTTATCTGGAAGGAACCTAAGAAACTGGAAACACATATATACGTCTCTTACAGCCTGATTAATATCAGCTAATTGTTCAGTTATGCGTTTTAATCTAGAAGAAAAGAAACTAATACTTTCATTTGGCTTAATTTTACAATTTAAGAACTCTGAAAACAGGGACATATGTCTAGACTGATAATCTGGGTGGAAGTATTTGTCAAGCGTATTCCATGCCACTACCGAGTCATCAATTTCACTTATCAAGCTTCTATATTCAGGGCTTACATTCATATAAATTAACGATAATGCCAATCGACTTCTATTTTGATAGTCGGCAAGAATTTCTTTTGTAATACCCTTAACATCATTTAAATCAGGACATTTTTCAATACCTTTAACCAAAAGCCATGCATTTTTCTCATTCAAAACAAACTTCATATCTTTGGACTATGTAAAATAATTACATGCCTCAAGTTTAGCAATATTATGCATGACACTAACCGTAGCCATATTTGAATTTTAACAAAAAAACGCCCCCCTATCTCTTAAGTCCTAAATTAACGTTAAACTTCAAAAGTCTGCAATAAAAATAACTCAGGGGCTGTTGCCCATAACCAAAATGATGCTAAAGCAAAGTTTAAAGTTTATAAAATTAAACATTTAGCAGTAGTAGCAATAAAAGCTCCCTGAGATACTATGTTGTGCAGACATTGAAGACAATAAAAAGGTTTCAAATTTAACCAATTTATTAACAATATAATAAAGATAAAAAAACACAGAAAATAAATTTAAACAATATCAGAGTCTTAGGAAAAATATAATATAATCATCATTCATCAAATAATATTTTTACCTGTCTTCAAAAACACTGGCATTCAATACAAACAAAAATGTCCTAAACATTAATTATGCGGCCTAAAAATGAAGTTGGCTACACAGTCAATAACGTCCCTGATCAATGGTTGAGAAAACACCTGAAATTTTAAATGAAGTTCTTGAAAGCAACTTAAAATCGGCCTAACTCCGTTTCCATTAGTTGAACACGAGGAATCGCCGCTCACGTATTTTAAATGCCGCCTTTATTGAAGAACATGGATGCCGCCCACGGCAGTCACTCACATGGTAGAAATCTCTGGAACCAAGGAACTTTATTCTGGAACAACCATCTTGTGGATATGAACCAAAGGAACTCATTCCGGAAACAATCATCCGCAGACATGCACCAAAGGAACTTTATTCAGGAACAGCCAGTTCCTTGTGATACCAGAACCAAGGCACTTTATTCACCGGACTGCGTGAATCCTTCTGAAGGGGCTGGAAACTGCACATCCAAGTGCCAGGAAAGCAGGAACTAGAAGGAGGGCTGAGCCAGAGCGACGCGAGATACTTATAGCAGAAGTAGGCATGATGTCATGACACAGCAACCAATCAGCTATCGGCACGAATCGGCTTTCCAGATGACGTAACATCACTTTCGTTTTTGCATCTCAATTAGGTTGAAACAGTCCGTTCTCAACGCAAACAGTGGCAGTAAGAAAAAGAAGTAGAAGTAACTAACATATTACTTTAAAATAAGAACTAAACTAAATAGATATTTCAAGGAGGAGAGATGATGCAGTAAAAGGTTTACAATAAGTTATATTTTCCAACAGCATTATGTGTTGACGCAGGCGCAGAAAGTTTGTAGCTATGAGGTATGGATTACGGACGTCCGGATTAAAGACTTTTGACTGTACTTTTCCATTATGCTTTATTTCCTTACAATTTTACTTAATATTCTTTACATTCATCCACTACGAAAGTTACGGATGTACAGAGAAAACAACATTAGACACTACGAAAAACAAAGGGCCGCTGGGGAGAAATTTTTGCGGAGAGGAGAGGACGGCGAAAGGGTTAATGTATGTTTTTCACATTTTATCCCATGTCTTATCACTTTTTCGCCTTTTAGTTGGTTTCAGGATTTTTTTTCGCTACAGCTAATACATTGGTAACAGTTTAGAATAATTTTTTTTATATATATTTTTCCTTCAATGACTAACTTATTAGTTTCATTAATCTTATTTACAGACAAAGTAATTAACTTTTTAGAATGTACTTTTAGTCAAAGTGGCAAGAAATGTGGAATTGGAACACAAAACTGGAATAATCGAAATTACACATTTAGCATAATTTGGCTGTTTTATTTCTGATTATCATATTGACGTAATTTTATAATCAAGGGAATTTATTCTATTTTTTAATCGTTTTTTATTTTTATGCAGGAATGTCCCTTTTCTATTAGTTTTATTTTTTGTATTTTTTGTTTTGTTTAAGGTTAGAATTTGCATTGGGGTATTTCCTTCACTACGAGAATGCCGAGTAATACATTTTGTAAAAAATCTTTTGTATGTGTATTTATTTAAATTTTTTAAGTTTTTGTTCATTCAAAAGCATGAATAATTAATTAGTGTTTTTTAATTTTTTTTTCTTTAAAAGAAATCATATACTGCTTTGCTTTAATTGCTTAATACTATTTTTCTAATAGTTTTCTAAATCACTATTTTCTAGGTCATAGTTTTTTGCACTTTCCAGGATAATATAATCTTTCTATGGTAAAAATGTTTTTATTTTGTAAAATTAAATTTTTGGTCTCAAGCTGCTTTCCTAATTTATATTATTTTTTCAGTAGTTGTTATGCATATATATGTGTGTGTGCATGCATTTGCACCATGGGAATCATGCAGTTCAGAGGCTTAGTAGAGTGCATCAGTTCAGAATAATTGTAATTATTATTTTAAAATTCTATGTGATTGACATCAGTACTCTGTGATATTCGTATTAAGAATTTGCATTATCTCTATTTTCCTCTGTTTCTTTCATACTATTTCATAATTTAATAATCTCATAATTTTTTGTGAACTATTATTTCAATAAAATGCCTACTTCCTGTTCATCTGGAATAATTATTAGGTTTGGTCTGATTTATTTGGCTATGGCAAAACACTCAAGGGCTATCTGGCTAATGAAAGCAATGCCTTTGCAGAAGACTTTCTAAAGGAAACTTGCTTGTGTCCATATTATATATGGGGAAAACCATAAAAATGCCTATGTGGCCAGCCCATTCACCAGGATATGAACCAATGCCTAACTACCACTGTTTAACAACTTTGTTACTTAGCCACTGGTGGGATGGCATAATTATTAGAGATTTTCAGAAAGCTATAGCATGTGTCATTATGCAGGTCTCCAGAAGAACTGTAGTTGTTAATGCAGCTGCAGATGTCTTTTTTTTTTTTTAATTGTTAACCTGCAACCACGAGTTTTTAATTATTATATGTGCTTGCAGGGAAAGATGTAAAACCAACACAATAACTCTAATGCAGTAATAAGTGCAGCATACGAAATAAGTATAGATAAATGCAATATACATGATAATAAGCATACTTTAAATTAGCAAACATATTCACAATGTATATCTGATAATGACAGTACAACTTATTCTGCATTACATTCACAACAAATCTACAACTTCTTGTACTTGCATATATTCATTAATGGACTGATGCTTGTCAGTGAGATGCAAATGAAAACAAATAATCAACAAAACTGCAAATTGCAATTCAGTTCATCATTGAAATAGAAGCACATTTTCAGTTTACTCAACAGTTCATAATTATAAGAAACAAAAATACACTCACAGGAATTGCTCACTATCTCCAGCAAATTTCCATCTTCGTGTACATTAACACAATAATTCAATCTGTCTAAAATGCAAGAATTCACAGTAAACATAAAATATTTTTTTAACACATAAGTTTATAAAGATTTTAAACTATTTTATTATTCTTGATATTTTGGTGCTTTGTACCTAATCCTTTAAAGATAGTTTCCTAACAAATGGGGCACGGGATTTTATGAACCCGAGAGGAATAATTAAGATTACTACACTCAAATTGCAATAAAAAGCTTTTAGCTAAAAACAGCTCATGCATCTGAAATTATGCGACAAAATATCGAAACTGTAACATTTATCCCACTCTTCTACTACAGAGGTTCTCAACTGAGAAGCGGGATTCCACTGTTCCTTTGTCATCTGATTTAAGACTGATGCATTCAAATTGTACCAATAAAGCTCACAGTAAAGCACAGCAAAGACATGCTTAAAATCATGTGACTCAAAAAGGTTGAAAAATAGCAACATATATAAAAACAAAGACAATTAGACAAAAACATTTTCTCAACCATGGTTATTATATATATAAATACATGTCAATTAAATATTATGCATTTTAAATTTATACATATAACAAATTAAAAGAAAAATTTTTAGTTTTACTAATTATTTGAAATACAGCACTTAAATCTGATTATTTGAATATGATGAAGTGCACAAGGGCTGTCTATCTAAGGGCTATGTATCTAAGGGGACGGAGGAAGCTTCCATAGATGACTTTGCAGGAGAAATAGGTAAAAACCATACAAACCAACCATGCAGCCAGCCCAGTCACCTGGGTTTGAACATGGGATGAACCACACTACCTGGGACAAATCCATAAATATCAGTATTCAGAAATTCTAACTACTTGACCATTAGCAAGTTCCTGTACCATTTAAAAAAAAAATGCAGTAATAACAATCTCACATATGATGAAAGTTCCACCACACTGTTCCACGACAAAATAACAGCAGCAATATGATTTAAAACAGGCAGAGCAATTAATTAGACAGGGAAATTATGTATATACTTTTTCATTTGAATTAAACTTTCAGAAAACATATGGTGTAGAAAGAAAAGAAATATAGCCCAACCATCTTGTTTTATCAAAAATGGGAACTACTTTTGCATCCTTCTTCAGAACCCCAAAGAAAATTTTTAAATGAACTTGATACGTTTCTGTATACTTATCATTATACAACGTTTGATATAAAATTTCAAAAGAACTGTAACATAGCAAAGAACATGTAATAATGTAGGAAGGCTGAATGATAAAATTTAACAGTAATGACCTATTAAAAAATTTTAAAAAAAATCTGGACTATAATTTTACCTCACATGCATACTATTGCTCCATAAGCCATACGCCTGCCCTACCAGATTAATATCCTCTATTATTTCTATATCCATCCTATACTATTAGATTAATACCATACAACGTTTACAAATGTCCACAAGAAGTGTTAATTACATAGCCAAGCAGGTGATGAGGCAGATGGAAGTTCTCCACTTGTCAGAAAGAGGCATTTGTGTTAAACCAGTTTGTGATACTCATAAAGCATTTGGTAGAGGATTGCAGAAAAATGGCCTTCGTTTTAAAGACATTGAAGACTTCAAGATATTCACTGAAAATGCTAGAAATGGAGAATTCGATGTTAAAGATACTCAACCAGGTGGTGGTGTCCAAGAAAAGCTTGACATTCGTAAAGTAAATGAACACACTTATGAATGTACATATTATCCTAATAAAGAAGGCCTTTATATAGGTGGTGAGGGAGTAATGTAGGAGTACAAACATATTAAGAATTCTAAAAATATTTTAATATTCATAATTTTATCTAACAGTAATATTAAAAACAATAATTTAAAATTTAAGCTTATTTAAAATATTGTTTTTAAAATTTAACTGAATGAAAATATTATTGTAATTTCAATTTCAAATGGCTGCTATGGTGACAATTTTCTTAAAAAAGGAACATTGTTTATAAGAATATAAGTTGATGGAGGGATTTAAAATATGTTAAAGTACTTGGAAAGAGTAAATAATTGTACATATTTATCGTAATAAAGTTGGTCCATTAATTAAAAAAAACAATGTTTATAAGAATGTAAGTTGATGGATGGATTTAAAATACATTAATGTCCTCGTAAAAGTAAATTATTGTTTTTAATATTACTGTTAGATAAAATTATTAATATTTGAATATTTTTAGAATTTTTAATACGTTTGTACTCCTACAAATCTCTTGTGTAATCAAATGGGAAACTACATCTTTAACAAGTCCTGTAGAGGAAGAAACATAGTCATTCTGGTCTAGGTTCTTGTACGAGGGAATAATAGTCTTCTTCAATTCTACAAAAATGGTTTGAATTATTTTATTTAATTACCATTCTGTCATCTTTTCTTCCCTCAAAGTACAAATCCCTTTTCATTTTCTTTTAATAGACTGATTCTGTAAATAATTTTCTGTTATGAGAATTGAATTCATGAGAACTGTCTGAATTAATTATGCCATAATCTTGACGAACAGATAATGTGACTACAGCATTGCTCAATCATTTTTAGCAGTTGTTGAAACATTTTTAGTAGGGAAGACTCCCAAACAGTCAGTGACCAATAATGTTTTTAGTTTAATCCTCATCTGCCAATTTTTTTTTTTTTTTTTTAACTATTAATGCACCAGGGGCTGGAATCATCTGAAACATGAGAATCTTCACTTAGCTATATATTTTCAGTATTATAATGTTGAAGTTTGGACACTGCAGGAATAGAAAATTTGCCATAAAATCTATAACCTTTCTGGCCATTGTTACAGCCAATTAACCCATTCAGAAACAGCGCCCCATATACGCGACACAACGACTGCACTCCTACCAGCCCAGCGTTGCGTATATGTAACTTTAAAACAGAATAATTTATTTGAATTTTTAAATGACAGTATATGGAGCTAAATGGTAACTGTTTTCACATGGGTTGATTCATACGGCATTTGACTTTTATGTACTGGCATTAGTTTCTGTTTTGATAGATTAATTGATACAAACTGGGAATCACGGCTCTTTATAAGTGTGTATGTGAACTAAAGGGGCACAAGCGTTTTCGTTTATTTCATTAGGAATTTCTTCCCCCCCCACTTTTTGTTCTTTGCCCCCCCTTTTTTTTTTAAATTCAAATGTGGGTAAGTGCATCGAGCTCCATGTTTTCGTTTATGTTATTTGCCTCTTTTTTTAGGAAAGTGCATTCAGCTGACTATAGCAAGAGTAATGTCGTCGAACATCCGTGATGGAAAAACTCAAGACCAGGTATCCTTTTTTCCATTTATTTTGAAATTTAACACAAGCTTTCTTGGTTAATGAAAAAGTAACATTACAACATTATTATGGAAGGGAAAAGACCATCAGCTTCCTCGACACATAATGCGTCTTACTCATTCGCATTTCTCAAGAAAGAGCCAGTGTTTTTTTTTCTGCTTATTCAATTTAATAGGTCATTATATAAAATGCCTTGAATAATCATTATATATAATGACTCAGGCATTATGTATTTACATATAATGTATATATTGATGTGATCAGTAACGGATATCCCACCAATGGGGGAGCCTTTCCTTGATCCCTTTCTGGTCATCGTGGCGGACACTGTTTTACACAGGGTCTGAGGATGAAATATTTCTAGGTAGTGTCTTTTGAAGAAGTTTTCGGACATGTGTTGGGGTTATACTCAGTTTCATTCCATTAGCCATGGCTAAGAGACCTCACTTAAAAAATTTGTCCAAAACCACTGGAAACTCCACCTTTATATCTAACTGAGAAACATTTTCCGAAAATTTACATTGACGGAAAACGTAATAGGTAGGAGAAGATGCACTATGTAATGGAGGACTGTGTGTCGATCCTTGTTTTGAATTATTTCACACACAGCAGAATTTTTTAATTGGAATTTAATTACCTACAGGTAAATCTTGTTTAGATTTTTTCATTTCATATTTATAATTTCTTTTTCATCTTTATAATATTTATTTCTGTGCATATAGTTATGATTTTACTATTTTACCTGTTTAATTTATTTCTATTAATGCTATACCCTTTATATTAATGCACATTAAAAACAAGTACATTAACTAAAAATCTTCAAAAATTGAAGTCATATCATTAAAATGCTGATTTTATACTTTTAGTTGGTAAAATTAGGCTTAACTGCTGAAAATGCGGGGGCAGAAAATGATGATCCATTTCAGCAAGTCCGGTCCTGTGACTGCACTTCGTTCTCTGCGCCCTTGTCCTTAAGGGGTTAATAAAGAGTCACCCTTTTCTTGTTAAAGTGTTGCATATCATACATCAAAGCAGGACATTAAGACATCTTTATAATTAGAAAGCTTGCTCATAAAAAAAATCTCCTGATTTACCAAATATTAGGCACTCAAAATCCTTTCATGTAGCAGTTTTCAGACACGACCATTTTTTCCGTAATGCTCCAAGCTATCACTGATGGCAAAAGAACTGAACATACTCAAGCAAAAATTGTAAGTGCACCAGTCTAAAGTTGCTCATCGGTCAATGACATGAAAGGAGGGTATTAGAGACTTCTGACATGATCCAAGGTGAAATTGCTCAGGAAGCATTTTCTTCTGTACATAATATTTGATAATTATAATCACTGTTTAAATGAGTTTGCAGCAAAAATTATGAAATATTGCTATTTTTACAAAAAATGTGTTTTTTGAGCTTTTTGGGAGAACAAATAATTCCAAATTATAAATTTCACTTTCTGTATCTGTGTGTTCCCCACATCCCAAACTTTACAATAGTAGTGAGTTTAGTAACTATAAAAAAATTGGCAAAACACATCAAAATTTCACCACTTTCCATAATTTTAAGTGCAATGTACAAACAAAAGATTAATTTTATTTTATTTTTTTTTAATTCTGCGTAGCTCAGCAATAGGAAAATTTTCCACAATATGACAGAAAAAGTTTAAAGTACTTTTTGCCCACCCTAATATAGGTAATGATCCTGTCACCTAAAATATGATAAAAAAGAGAAAAAGAGGTAGTAATGTTGATAGTGCCTGATAGCTTAAAACATGCATCCATATTGAAGAGGAAGAATTCTGATTGTGTGGGATGCAAAAATATTTAATATGTAATGACTAGGAAACATGGCAGAACAGTAAGATTAACATTTGTGGCCACAATTCACTTGCCACTGTAAATGTGCCTATTCCAGAATATTTAAATTTTTCATACTGCTGCAATTGACAGCACAGCAAATTAGCACCCAACCAGCACAGTGAGAGCAGCCACAGTGTGCAATTATCAATATGGAAGCTCAACAAGAGGAAGGTTTTGGTTTAGGTTAGAAAGGTTTCAGTTCTCAAAATTTTGAGTACAAGCTATGAAACTGCTATGACATCAGCATCACACAAACTGTGTGACACAGATTAATCAAGAAATGGCACAGTCCAGAAAAGTTATTATTATTTTTAGAATAGAGAGAGGAAATAACCAAATTGAAAGTGAGTAATTGATTAAAGCCTATTGCTAAATTGCACAAAATTAACTTTTGAGGACACTCATACTTCTATCAATAGGTAATTAAATAAATAAATGAACAAAGTTAAGCATGCTGTAATCAAGCAATTAACAAATTTGCTGCCATGTACAACTGTACTCATACTCAACAAACAGTTTATTTGCCAGCTACGAGATAACTCGTTATTGATCACCTTAGCTAAATTGCAGAGTACGAGTATTGCCATAGTACCTGTATAACATACAAATACCGTAAGAACTTACACTTCACTATAAAAATGAACAAATATTTGGCATACAAATGTACTAAATAAATATATTATTTTTTCCTATCAATTGATAAAGAAGATTGAACATGGCTTTAAAAATTTTATGTTCAATGAAAAACAGCAAATAATAAATTTGACATAAAACATACCAAGATCCGTAAGCATTGCAAAGTCAAATGTTTCGGAGTATGTGCCTAATAATGTACATTCTTCTAATTCACCACGCTCTGAAGTATCAACAGCTACTCTAAAATAAAACATGAAATTTAATTCAAATTTCAGTTTGTAAAAAATTAATAATACTTTAGATACCATAACTCTGAACAAAGCAATATTTAAATTGGGAGAAGCTGAGATATGCACAAAGATTCTAAGGCCCCGTTCAGACGAGGGCGTAAAGGGCATAAGTGGTTAAAGCCAAGCTCTGTTGCCAAGGCAACCAGTCTGTGCTACGTCACATAATCTGGTTTAAGGCTAGTGGCACAAGGTTCTAAGGTTTCAACTTTACGCCGAGTTTGGGATAAGCGTCGACCAATCAGAGCGAAGCTAAAACGAAGCGGCTTTCTTTAAGACGATTTCGCTGTCACGTCGAAGGTGACATTTTTTTTTAACATGGAACAACACATCGTATCCGAATGAGTTGTAATCATATCCGAACAAAATAATGAGTTGTAATCGTATCCGAACAAAATAAAGAGTTGATCTCGCAAGAAATCTACGATGATGACATGCATTTTTAATGAGTTTTTAATGCATTTTTAATGAGTTTTTCAATTTATATTGAAAAATAGGATGAAATCATAAAGCGAAAGTAAGCTCAGGGTTAGCACGCTGTGTATGATCCTGTAGATGATTGATCCCATCCAAATATTGTTCATTTATTATGAAAATTCTTTAAAAATGCCATGCTTGCAAAAATTTTATTTTTCTGTGAAAATTATTATTACTATGTTCTTTCTGTCTTAATTTTTTAAATTATTACTGTAATTTTTTTCCTGTTAATTATTTTGTATTTAAAAATAAATTTATTAAAAAAAGCTGGAAATATTGTATGGTATTGCTTCAAATGCGGATTTCTTTCCAACAAACTTCATGAATAATTTTACTAAAACATCAAATCAATAGCAGAATCTGCTGTTTTTTTTAACAGTAAAAATAGGACTAAAAAAAAAGAAAAATTATTTTCACTTATTAATAACAGTCACAATAGTCAATTCATGTGTAAGCTTTGTATAAGTAAAAAAGATTAATCTTTTGAGAAAAATGCTCTTATGATTTCCAAGAAAGAAAAAATGTAGTGAATATCCTTTAAAACAACAGTCAACAGTCTAGACAGTTTTGTCTCCTGTTGAAGTCCGTTTTGTCTGTTCTGTTTTTAATTATGTCTCCGTGAAAAGATTTACTTTTATTGAAACTAAATAGCAACATAATCATAACATGGACTATAATTTAATGAATAGTATTTGTTATTATTATCCACCTTTATTACTATCATTTGAATGGAGTTCGATCATTAAATTCATGCTATTCTCTGGTAGAAATTTTGGATAAGGTATGAATGATTATAATTTTGATGTATTTGAAGACTTAGGTACCTAAAATTTTCTCAATGTGAATTACTTTGAGATTTGTTCGTAAATAGAAATGACAGCATATGTTGAAATTAATTCAGGGGTGCGGCTTATACATGCAAATATTAGAAATAGGTGCATACAAACAGCTGCCACACAGCAAAATGTAGTAATGATTGAGCATAAAATACATTGTTGGGTGAACGTTTCCTAGTATTCTACTAGTTGTGTTTGCTGGTCATTGTGACCTTGTGGGATACTAGTACTAGTGATAATTGATACTGGTAGTGCAGCAACTACTATAGTGATCGACAGGGGACAGTATAAGGAGTGCTAAGCACACATGTTCACTGTCACAGAAACATGTTCCTTTTGATTGAAAATTAAAATAATAATAATAATAATAATAATAATGTATGGTAAGTACAGTTTTAGCTTAATGCTTTTCACACCTGACAAAATGGAAAAATATTATATACAGGTATCTGTAGTTATCCTCAAGATTTTTTTTAATAGGCATATTTAGAATCGTATTCTAATAAGAGAAAAGTATATATAAAAATTGAAGGTTTATATAGTATATAAATATGCATGTGCATGCTTATAGTATAGAGAGTACTACAGTACAAGCAGAAATTCAATACTGCTTTGTACAGAAAATATGTACCAACCAAGTATTGGTCTTTCAAAAAAATATCTCTGGACCATTTCGTTATTTTTCTTTTTTACCTTCTTCCGTGCCTCTTGGCTATGAGAAGGGCAGATAAAGATCATTCTGTTGAGCCAGTGAAACTTTGTGGCGAGCTGAAAAAGCCCTGACACAATGAAAAAAACAAGCAGAGCGAACGCGGGAAATCAATCAAGCGGGAGAACAGCGCGGAAAAGTTGTAGACATTCCACGCATGCGCAAATTTAGCTTCTCTCATTGGCCATGGCTTACACCTCGTTCTCGCAGGTGTGAACGGGTCTCCCGTATTTTATGCCCTTATGACTATGCCTCTATGCGCTTTACGCCCACGTCTGAATGCACCTTTATGGTCTAGTGACCTTTTTTTTGGGGGGGGGCAAGTTGACAACATTCTGAAAGTTTCCGGAAAACATATTTTCACACTCCAAGCTGCAATTTTTTCTGAAGCTTCCAGAAGGCTGGGCTTCCCTATATATAACTGTATTTGGGGCATAGGAATTATGCAGTTTAGAATTAGCAAAGTGCATCAGTTCAGAATTATCTGATTACTGCTTTAAAGTTATCTCTTAAGTCATGATCTACAATACTTCTCATCGAAGGACGGTTTGCTTTATCTCTATTTTCTCCTTGAGTTATTTATAATTGCTAACTTTGTTGTGAGCTTTCATTTATTTCAATACAGAGATTATACCCTCCAGCTCATCTACTGCAGTTATTAATGAGACCTCCTGAACAATGATGCATAACAAATAAGTCAAAATTGTGGATCTCTTTGAATGCCCATAATCAGGGAAACGGGAAAACAATTAGGAATGACTGCCTGAAGTTCCATTGAAATGAAGACCTCATTTGAAGCAAATACAATTTCATGCTGTCTGAGACTTGAAAGAAAACAGTGTTGCTGCCGAAGAAAAAACTGTCAACAAGAAAGCAGCGACTATAGAAGCAAAATCTGAAAAAGAGTTAAATAAGGTAAAATCCTCTGTTAATCACAATATTGTTATGGCACTGAAGAAATTTTTCAAGTTAATGACGGACTCAAGAAAGGAAAACAAATGGTAGCATAGAAACTTCTAGAACTGACTCTGAACAAAGTGACAAAGTGACTCTGAACAAAGTTCCGCCTGATCTCTCCTTTACTGTTTTTCAAACTTGCACTTCTATGAATAACATTTGAAATCAGTCATATCATCCCATAATAGAGCTCTTGCTAATGATGGGAAATCATCATGGAACGTGCACAAAATGCAATACAAAATGATTTTGCAGGAAGCAAATCAATAGGAGCCTTACCTCCAAAAGCCTTACAACTAGCTGCCGCTTTACAGGGAGAATTAGCTAACATTTTACATATATTTTCAGCCAAGAAATGAGCAGATGCCAAGAAAAACTTAGTTAATATTTAGTGTTGCAGTAAGTATTACAATTTCTGCAAAATTATCACAAATTGCATGCATGAAAGTGAAGACTGCACAGTAAGGAGACATCATAAGATTGTAAAGGATGTTAACAGTATGAAAGACTCAGCATAGAAAGCAACAATGGAGTACTGGAGCTTCACAAGAGCAATGATTTCCTTTATCACAAATGATTTTTGACCATGACCTTGACCTGCCAAGTGAACTTTTCTTTGAATCACAAGCAGGACGCCAACAGGACACTTAGCCGATGTGTTTAGTCGACAGGACATTTAAGTCAATAGCTTGCTTAACCAACAATATGTTTAGATGACAACATATATACAATTAGTCCATATTTATCCAACAAAAGGCATTTCTCACAATACAAAAAGATATTTTTTATGGATAAGTACTATATTTTTGTCTTCATTGAATGCTTTACAGAATACAGATTTTAAAACTGGATAGAAAGGCAAACTGAGGTTGGTACATATTTTGAAATCAACTTCAAAAGCAATCAAACATAGCTCCTTCTATTTCAGAAGGTGGCGAGAAAATTTCAGCAGTATAGTAGCAAAACAATTTACTATGGAAAGCTAGGTAAAGTAAAATGAATATAGCATGATCTGTCAAGGAAAATGGTAATGAAACATGAAAAAATTAAGATATTAAAATTTTGAAAGTATATGGAAGACCTAAATTGGAAACTTAAATGTTATAAACAAAAGAAAAAAAATTAATGTGAAACTGTTTGAAGAAATCCAGCTTATAAACTAAGCCTTTTACAGATCAATTTTGCAAATGCTAAGTCAAAATTATGAATAAGTGTGCAGTTGTGATTAGCTATTAAAAGTCTGTTTATTCCTCCTCATCAAACATGATTCACGTTCCCTGATGAGCAATTTCAACATTCTTTCAATTTAGCTAATATATACGTGAAATTACGATGATTTCATGGGCTAAATTTCTGAAATAATTAAATACGAGATAGGATCTTTAATAAAAACACAAATTTTACTGATAGATAACCTGTCAGATAAGCGTCCACATCAGCCAAATGGACATGTCAGCTAAATGTCCTGCTGACTAAAAGTCGCAGCCCCTCTTGGTCTCTTTGGGCTACTTATAGCTGTGTATTTTGTAATTAGCTGTTAATTCAATAACCAATAAATATCTTCTTTTGCATCTGGCATGAATATAAAGAAATCTCACTAACTTTGAATGCATAGCAATATTTTTTCCTTAAAAAACACAAATCTGAAAAATTAATATCTGTAATTAATTTAATAAAATGCACATGTATAGAAGCTGAGAATCCTCTCTGAAGTAAACACTATTGACTTCTCTTATAGATACTCTTGTGTAATTTTCCAGTTTAAAACATCTCTTTTATGTAGCCCTTCTTCCTTGTACTCATCTTCCCAATAACCAGCCTCTTGAGGGAATTTTGCAAAAGCTTTTTGGTCTGACAGATTTTAAGTGCCACACCACTTAAAATTAGTTAAACCAAAATCCCCAGGAGTTGCAAATACATTTTGTCTTGTGCATACTACAATGATATTATACAGTCACTAACATGCATATATTGTCTAGGGTCTGAACCTGGTTGCAATTGCATGATTTGTAGGTTAACTTGTGCTAAATACCAAACACTCAGGAGTAGAAGAATGAACTGAGTAGCAAAGGATTTAACAGCATCCAAATATTTTATGTCTTATGTGTCTTAATTAGCACTTACTGTTATTTTATGACATTAACAAGAAACTTAAGGAAATGATGTGTATGGTAAATAAATTTAAGTTAGTAAAACAGAAAGTATGTAGTGACTATACAGATCAAGAAGTTAATTTTTGATGTTACAGAAATTGCAACAGTGCAGAATTCCCTGAATTACATGTTTTGCTGGCCTTCAAGTCTTTCCCAACTCTCATATGATCTCCATACATTCTTTCATTTAAGTTACGATACTTTGTATGAACATAGTACTTTTGACATGGCATGGATTATTATGAATTAAATATAGCAAGCTATCCATTAAGCATTGAAAAAATATTTTTCTTACTATTTTTCAAAATCCAGTTTTGATGTTGGGTTTCCTGACTTTATGCACACATTATAAGACAGTCTTTTTTTAACTTGGTTTGCTTTGGTTTGGTTTATTTGATTACGGAAAGCATGCAAGGGCTATCTGCCTCAGGGAAGATATTCCTTCCTGGAGAACTTTCTAAGGAAAACTGGCTCATATCCCCATTATATAGGGGTAAAACCACAAAAATACACATGCAACCAGCTTATTCACCTGGAGTTTACGAATGTTCATATTACTCATCATCTTTTGGTGGGCCCTCTTCAACTTGCTTTCAAGATTGACAGCAATTATGCACAATAAGTTCATCACTTGATAATACTAGCAGAAAAAAAGCATATTATACGAATTTCCACTGGCCAAATGTGTGTCTAAAATATGTTCTTCCACACAATTTTTATGCATTATGAAGAAATTAAGAGTCTTATAAATAAAAGCACCAGTTTCTATGCCCATTATTAGTGCAGCAGAATGCCTGCCAAAGTTGGTAAGTAAAGAAATTGTTGAATGTTTTGCGAATCCATGGGAAATACTTCTAATAGAATCTAAACTACACTGTCAGTGTAAAACTGTAAAGACATGAAAAAATTATACTAATTCATTTTTACATAAGGCAAATATTATACAAGTTACAGAGCAGCAGCATCCACAAATGAAATAGCGATACATACACACACACAGGCTATGAAATAGATGTACACGATTCTCATAAAATGAGTAAAAGTAGCTTAATGGAAGCAGTCATATGTATATGCATACACATAGACTATGAAACAGCTGTAAACGAAGAGGCTTAAAGTATCTAAAAACAGGCTTATGGAAGTTGGCTGCTCATATGGTATTTCCAAAACCATTACTCAATATACTTCAAACATTAAAATAGCAGAAATCATTACCTCCACTGTCTTCCATCATGGAAAACAACGCAATCGTAAGTTGGTCCGACATCACAAAACTTCTTTTCTAAACTATTTAGAATTTCTAATTTGGCTTCCAAATCCTCTTTATCCATTCTTGATTTGAAAGGAACCTTTAATAACAATAAGAACATTACATGGCTAGGAATATTTAAATATACACTGAGCTAGACAATTGCATAAATCATGGTATAATTCACATGATTTATTTAAAAAAATTGTGGAAAGAAAATGTGAAGAGTAGAAAATACATAAATTCAAAAACAAACTATCAAAGACTAAATAGAAAATTACAATATGACATGGATTCCATGATGAAGCTTATAATAAAGTTATAAACAATCTCATCAAATACCTAACATATATCCCCATGTAAACATGATTACATTAACCCCTTTGCGCCGACTGTCACGTCTACGTGCCAGCAACGAACACACTCACTTCCCAGCCGACACGAAGGCATGCCAGAGCATTTTTCTGTTCAGCCCCGACTGTCACATATTTCAGCCAGTGTCCTGGAACGTTTTAAAAACTATAATTTCTGCCACAAGATGGCACTGTATGTCCATATGGTTTCAGACACATGTACATTAGACCTTCTACTCCAAATGAGAGAAGCATGACTCACATACATGTGTTTTTGATTATATAAACAAAAGGGGAATAATGTTTCCGAATGCCGTGATTTATGACGTCTCTTTAAATTCGCACGTGGTAGTTGTTTATTGTAAGTAGAGAAGTTTTATTTTCACTAAAGTGTTGGGTATTGCAATTTCCAGTTAAGTTTTAAGAAAATAATTAGATCTTGTTAGATGTGAATTCTTTCTGTTTTTACTGTTGCAATGTTGAAGCGTCGAAAATGTTTAACAGAGCATGAAATAGCAGAAATGATGCAAAATATTTCAGATATTGATTCTGAAACAGATTCTGATAGTAGTGATAGTGATACTATGATATATTCTGATCATAAAGAATCTGGCAAATCTAATGATGATGAGGACATTTCGGACATCTGTATGCCTAGTACGTCGAAAGCAAGTTCTTCTCCATGGTCATCCACAATAGAAAATTTAGAATACAACAAAAATATGGGAGGAGTAGATTTAAGCGATTCCATCATTATTCAGTACACATCTTGTCAGAAAAACTGTTAAATGGTTATAAGAAGCTTTTCTTAAATATCATGGATATGGCTGTAATTTAACACCAATACTCTTTTCAACAAAAAAAGTAAAAAAAATCTTCCTCTCCTGAATTATCGGCTTAATTTAGTTAATCAAATTATTTATCGGTATTCCTCTAAAAGCACCAATGTTAATATCACACCAAGATCAGCAGAATCATTAAATCCACTCAGATTAACTGAAAGACATTTTGCAAAACTTTGTTCAGAAGAGACTGCTAAGAAAATGAGACGACGATGCTTCGTTTGTTCGCATTCCCGGAAAAATCCTCCAAAACGGCAAATGAGTTATTACGAGTGCAAGGTATGTAACATAGGACTGTGTGTAGATCCCTGTTTTCAAATTTTTCATACGAAAAGAGAATTTTAAGTAATATATTTAGTTTTCAGATGTATAATGTTAAAAGTCATAAAATGGTGAGTAATGAAAATAAAATGTGTAAAATATGCATTTAAACAAGAAATAAGGTAGTTAAAGTATATATAAAAATATCTACAAAGCATAAGCCGTTTAAATACTCTATAGAGCATTATTAAACAATGCGTTGATACTTCGGAAATTTCATGGATTTAGGCTTAATAGCAAAAAAGCCCCCGGTCCTGGACAGACGCTCACGTAAGACACTGCCACCTTTCGCGATAAGCGTGCGTTTGCGCTACCCAGCACGAAGGGGTTAAACAACAAGTCTTTTTTTATCTTTAGATGCATGAAATCATGAAATTCTCACAACTTTGTTTCACATCTCTTGTTTTAGGAATTTGACAAGAGTGATACATAACATCACAACACATAAACACACACCCAAAATATTAATACCACTCCATGATTTAAAACTAGGCGATGAAAAAACAAAAATGGTAATAATATATTACAAGGAGAGTTCAGGAAAAAAAAAATTAAGGCTTATGACTTTAATAATACAAAACATGATCTTCTCTGACGAGTACACACATCACAACCTGTTTTCATGCTAGCAATAATATTATTAATCAGAATTTGGGAAATCAATTTCCACTTCTCCAGTAATGTGATCTTCAGGTCATTTACACCTCTAGGATGTCTCTGCAATTATTTTTCCAAAATAGTCCCATGAGTTCCCAATCACCTTAAGATCAGGATATTTTGCTGCTCATGGTATTCCCTCTTTCTTTGCTTTTCAGATATTCATCAGGTTTGCTTAATATGGACGGATCAACCATAAATTTACAAGTCAGATTCATATGTACTTCTGAAAAGTCTTACATAAGGTTCTAAGACTTCATTTCCATGTCACTGGCTGTCATACATCCCCTCTTGAAAATGTGTAGGGGTATGCATCCATTGATCGTTATTTCTTCATATACTATCCACACTCGCATTACCGAAATGGTCATGTTCCATACTGTTAAAATAATATGCTATGAAAGAAAATTCCCTGTATAAATTAAATATGTTATGAAAGAAAATTTGACGTCCCTGATTCCCTCCAGATATAAACACATTTAGAATCAGATGTTAAACTAAACTTTAATTAAAACGAACATAGGAACATTGGTGTTCAATCCAGTTCTGACGTTTTTTGCACAAATTAAAATGAACCCCCTTTTATTGCGACGACAGCGAAAGACACATGCTTGACTTTCTGGAATAAAGGCCTTAAGCATTCTGTATACAGCTTGCCATGATGTAACAGTTTCGATGGTGGGCTGCAAGCTCTGAACATTACTGCTACACAGTAGACTTCTTGTTACAACAGCCAGTTATTGCCAGATATTGATCTTGAGAAGCAGATTATTTTGAGAAAGATTTAATGTATGATAAAAAGTGGGAATAATAAAAATGGGAAAAAGACTTTTATACATATATATATATATATATATACAGTACAAAGTCCGTAATCCGGACTAATCGGGACTTCGGCGATTCCAGATTAAGGGTTTTTCGGATATAGATCATCAATTTAAATTGATAAAATGCACAAAAATTATACAAATTAAAAATATGAACAGCAATTTATGAAATAATGAGCAATTATGATCTAAAGGCTATCAAAATACAAAAAAAAAGCTTAAATTATTTTTTCCACATTTCTTTCAATGTAAGTTGTTTAAGTTGCTTTGTTTTTTGTGCTAAACGCACATGTGTAAACATTAAAGGCACACATGTAACATTAAATGCGCATGCATTAAGCATACCAAAAAACAAAGTTTGTGGCTTTGAGGTCTAGATTATAGATCATTCCGGATAATGGACGTCCGGATTATAGACTTTACAGACTTTGTACTATATATATATATATATATACAGTACAGCTAACTAACTACTGGTGTGTGCTACTAGTACGATGTGTTTAGTGTGTTAGTGTAACTGATATACTGACTTCATGCCTAAAGTTTCATGATTTGCTCCAAAAGAACTGCATTTATGTATAAACACATAGGAAAATAGTCTTTTAGACTCATTAGCTGTTGAGGAAAAATATGAGTGATGACAACATTCCTGGATAACAAGTTTAAGTATAATGCCTTAAAGCTTTTGAGAACACCTCATTTTGTTGCAAAACGGCATTTTATTAACAAACATTTTGTGCCAAAAACATAGAGATTATTCAAAATTCTTAGGCCAAACCAAGATGAGCACACTTAAAAGGGAACTCTTTATCATATTTATCATATAATTATGCATAAGCCTAACTCAAACATCAGGTTAGGTTAGGTTATTTAATTACAACGAAGCCTCAAGTGCTATCTGCCTAAGGGGAGGGATGACTTCGTGGAGGACTTTTTAAGGGAAACTGGTTCGTATACACAACTCAAACATCAGAAGCAGTAGAGAGGTTAACAGACACAAGAATGACTAAGACAGAATGGAAACCTTGAACAAATTACAGAATAAATTTTATTGAATAAATTACAGAAAATTCAAAAGAGAGATTGACAACAAGAAAGCAGACATTACAATTTTTATGTATTGTTAGAGAAAAATTAAAAGGCTCAAGTGATTGGGAAAAAGTTGAAAATGAAATAAAATGTTGTAAGCAGACACATGTTTAAACATAATTAAAAGTAGCAGCTTTTTCAAATAACTTATCGGCCTTATCCGCTGGAGTTGGAATAAATTTCTCATTTGGGTTGGTCCTCTTTTGTTCCTTTCTGTAATACTGTTGTTGTTCTAAGAATCGATGCCCAGATATATGGAAGCTCTGCGCTGCAACACCTTCAGGTGCCCATTTTTAGCTCTTCTCTGATTTTATGGATCCTTTTTATGGCAGGGTTCGTTGATTTTAGGTTTGCCCCTTTCAGTTACTGAGTTTGGATGCTCCAAGGAGTACTTACCCAAAGATGTCCAATTTTCACTAATGTATCAGTTGACAGTCTGTTAATGTTTTTTATTCTTGGCAATTCTTACTGATAATTCTAGATTGAGATAGCAAATGTTATGGTACCATCTGATTTCTCCGTTCTTAAGAAACTCCATACAGATGGTGCTGGGGGTCACGGCAATTTATAACCAAATCTCCTGGAAACAAAACTAATGCATGGCATGATCTGATAGTAGAGGAATGTTCCAATGACTTTACTTAAATTTGATTTTTGCAGTAGCAAATTTATTTTTCAATAGCTTAGCTAATGATTTTCTTGGTAAGTTTTCCAACAAAATCAATAGTGTATCTATTGTTTGTTGCAATTTGTAAGCCATATTTACATTCATTTTAGCACAATTCAGGTGTAGAACAAAATTATTTAGCTTATGTAAAAATAAAAAGCAGTCCTTTTACGGGGATAAAATGAAAAATAATCACATGGAATTACTGCTGAGCTAACATTCGGTTCACTTTCCATTTTAGCAAAAATTCTGATTGAAAAACTACGAATTACATTTAATTATCAGCACCCACAAGGCCTTTCATTCCAGCTGTGATTTTGGTGTTCAGAGCCAACAGGCTAATT